TGTACTTAATAAGTGGTGAATTTTCTGTGTGAATGGATCTCATAGTTTTTTTCTCAGTTTATAAACAAGTAGGAGTAAATCTAAAATAGAAACACAGCTGGTCAACAACTAGCCAGATCCAAAAAGATACAGTACATTTATATTTAAGAATACAGTATATGACTTATTTTATTAAAGTACTTTCCACCACATTGAGGTTAAAGTCCCTTTTTCTAAAATAGAAAACAGACGCCAGATGTTTGAAGATCAAGGAAGAATATTTAGACTGCCTGTAGAGACTCTTTAGTTGGCATTCTAAAAGATTTATGTCACACTGTAAACTTAACTTGTTGCTTTTGCGGGAAAAGGAATATAAGCACACTGTGGTGGTAAATGGTCCATTAAACAATTAAATACACCTATAGCGTGCAACTTAGCAGATATATTTCATTGCCATTAAATTAGCTTTGGGTTGGTAGAACAAAGTGTGTCAGTAGCTTATTTTAAATCCTGGTTACATTTCTCAAAGTTTTCAAGATGAAAGAACTGTCCACAATAAGCGGCTTAGTACACCTTTTAAATATTTGCCACATATTTATGTGGCGGAGCGGTGGCTCTGTGGCTAAGGACCTGCGTCTGCACCTGTGGCTGGAAGGTTGCCGGTTTAAATCCCGCAGCTGGCAGAGGAATCCTACTCTGTTGGGCCCCTGAGCACGGCCCTTAACCCCAACTGCTCCAGGGGTGCTGTACAATGGCTGACCCTGCGCTCTGACCCCAGGCTTCTCTCTTGCTGTCTGTGTGCCTCATGGAGAGCAAGTTGGGGTATGCAAAAAGAAAATTCCTAATGCAAGAAATTGTATATGGCCAATAAAGTGATCCCTCATCTCATATTCATGCATATGCTATTACACTGCACATAAAGTAGATTATGTGTATCCTTATTTGTTATGTTTAAGCCACTGCCTTTAGTCACGATGCTTTCATTCTGGATCAGAAAAATTCTGTATGACATCAAAAGAATTTAGCTTTTTGGATTATATGAATTATGGTGGAATATGAAGCCTCTTTCATCTCAAAGTACCTGACCTCATGCTGCAGGCAAGCTGACTACACCAAAAAGTCAGCCTGCTGGTGAATAGTTTAGAGAATCCTGGGCATGGACATCACTGTCACAAGATAGTACTGTATTACACTGAAAGACTTGTTACAGAAGCATTTTCTCCTTTGTCATCCCTCTGCTCTAAATAAACCAGATTTTTAACAATGTTGTAAGGCTCAGTATTCATTCATTCCAGTGTCATTTTGGATGATTATTTCTATTCCAGTTATACACCTAACAAATGATTTGTTTTGGAGCTGACAGCAAGGCTTACTGCTGAAAACTATGGGAATACAACATTACTGTTGTGACTTATAGGAAATAGAGGAAAACTCTTCTTAAGGTTCTTCTGAGAAACTAGACTCCTTAGTTTTTTATAGAGGAATGCTCTATAGATGCTCCTTTGTTTCTCCTTCAGTTGTCCCTCATTGTCCCTTCCAGTGTCATGAAGCTGCTTTTCCCCGCACAACTCTCCTCCTCTATGCCTTTTGTTATTTTGTGCACTTCTTAACTGCCCACTTAACTGCCATGCCTTAACTGCTCTGTGCCTTTTGTTATTTTGTGCACTTCTTAACTGCCCACTTAACTGCCATGCTCCAGGTTGCTCTTTCATCAACTGGAATACTTCCAAAACATACTGTATCTCTATGATCTTAAATGTACTCCAGGTTGCCTTTAATGACCTGAAGTACCCATTTTCCCCAAAAAAGGAAAGAGGAAAGGCTGGACTCTCAAGGCATTGGGAGCTACAGAGCAGTGCGATTACCATGGTTGGTTTTCACAGTTGTACTAACTGACGATTCTCTCAGGGTCATGTATGACCCTAGCGCCACGCGTCTGGGGATATGCTACAGTATGTATCGAGTGCACTTGAAGACAACACTTACTGTGTCCATTTTCTTGCACAACCTAAGCCTTCAGCTGTTGCTTCTCTCCACTCCCCAACTCCTCTGTCTCGACTCTGCCCTTCAGGGAAGCAAAGGAGGTAATGCTCATCTGATTTTATGGATGCTTTGTCTCTCCAAATTACCAGACTTGTTCAGTTATTTGAAGGGCAACTGCATGTCCTGTCAATTGTTTGGTACAGCAGCAGACTCCAGTTGTGTTGATCCTACAGACTTCTGAGGAGGTGCTTGATTCCCCAGCAACTGACCCTGTAGATCCCCTCTTGGAAGTCCTCTTAGGTTCCTATCCCAGATGTATTGTTCATGATAGGCTCTCAGCTGCCTGTTCCAGAAGAATCTCCACTGGCCAAAAATAGGAGAAGAGTGTCCATCAGACCCAGAGCCGCTGTGCTCTTACTTGATGTTGCCACTCCCGCCTGGTCTGGACAGCAGAAAAGAGCAATGCCACAATGCTGTCCCTTTCTCTTGTGGGCTTGTTTAAGGACTCTGCTTGCCCCATTAAGCAGTGCCATTAAATAGAGTCCTCCTCTGCAGCAGCATTTTTGCTTTCCAGACTAATTTTGTCAGATCTCAGAAGCAAGGCCTGGCCCTGGCTGGTACAGTGTGGGAGATGATGCAGAATGGCAGTGGTTCTAGTTGTGGTATCTAGTCCATTGCTCAAATACAGTGATCCTGCAGTTCTTATAGTTTTTTGTGAAAAGAGGTCTTCATTCACCTTGAAGGTGTACAGGTGTACAATTTTTACTCTTGATTCCCCGGCAGCAAAGGTAGAGGATTTGGGATATTTTCAGTATTCAGACAGTAAAATACCCGGGCTGCATTCTAAAAAGAATGATCACATGAAATAGTTGTCTATCACTAATAATGTAAAAAATACTGAAAAAAATATCTCCAAAAATGATTTTTTCCTGGCATGTGATGCAGATCCCAAATTTGCCCTTGAGATTACACACAGAAACATTCCCTTTTAGTTTTTGAAGTAGTTCCACTTTCTTTTTAATGGAAACAGTATGCTTTCTCTTGCCAAAGTTAGCCATGGCAGCTTAGACATTTAGACGTGGCAAAACACTACTTTGGTTCTCATAACACTGAGAAAAAGACATTTTTTCTGAGATTTTTATTATATGTATTATTTTGCCAGCACCTGGGGATTTTTTTTAACGTGTATGTTCTATATGAAAATAATCTTAATATTTTTTATGTAATATTAGCATACATGTAATAGTACACCAAAATTTAATTATGGTTTATAATAAGCATGTCTGAATTTTGGAAAATTTCACAGTTTCAAAGAGAGCTGGATTTTCTATCCTGATCCTGGCTGCCATTTGTACTCTACACTCCATGTCTGAATTCCAGGGAAGCCTCCTGGAGCCCATTTCATGGCTACATAGCAGCTTAAGGGCATGAGATGCCTGTGTCCTTCAACCAAGCCTGCCCTTTCGACATGGCTTCTCAATGTCATGCTCCATTTCAGCCCCTGCATTTTTATGGTTATTGTCTCTGACAGCGGTCACCATGCATTGTCAGCGCAGGACACTTACAGTATACTGCAAATGTTCCTCTGCTGATTAAGAGTCTTGTTGTTTCCTAACCTGTCAATCATACAGAAGTTCCATGTGAAAGGTCTTGG